CTGGCCCTTGATGCCCTTTTCTCCTCGCTCCTTCATTGCTCCTCCATCCTCTTCTCAGAGTTCTCCTCCTATTTATACGACCTTCCTGCCAGTCCCACCTATTCTTTCTCCTACCTCGCTATTGACCGGTCAACTATTTATTAGACCATCAAATATTTTAGACTTGCAAAGAATCACAACTTCACAGAGTTAAACAATTGCAGCATAAACAAAATCAACACACCTTAAAATGATTTTCTACAACATATTTCAATTAACACCTTAAAGTTGGCAGCAAATTCCCAGATTTACATAGCATTTTGCATCTAGTAGCTTTTGGGTTTTTTGTTTTGTTTTCTTTTTAAAAACAAATTCCAGTATGGCCAAATATGAATTGATTTTGCTTTTGTACCAATAGGTTAATATTTATAGAGTGTCCAAAAGGTGTAAACATCGCTTGGCATTGTTTTGTTTTAAAAAGGAAACCTGAGAGTTGGAGAGATAGAAATGGCACCCTTATGGTATACAGACATGCATACAGGTAAATCACTCACACAAATAAAAATAAATTCAAATTTAAAGCTTTCTTTAAAAATATTCAAACAGCATGTTCTTAGCCAGCACACCCTTACCTGGCTGTCTACAAGCCCTTTGTTAAATGGAGTTTTGCCTCCAACCACATGACAAACCACAGCTGCAATGTGCATCTGGAAAGTCTTCTAAACCACAAACCGAACTCTCTTGGCTGAATTAGCCATGCCAGCAGGGATGCAGCAAGCACCCAGTGCTTGATGTTTAGGTTTTTCAGAAGATCTGGGCTTGGCTTTGCTCTTTGAAGACTTTGGGGCTAATTATGGGACAGATTTCAAGAAGCAGTGTTTATTACCTGCTTGCCAGCCTGAAAATCAGCCTTTAATTCATAAGCAAACTCTGGAGGGAGATAAATGCTGAGCTTCATTCTGATACCACTTATGCTGCTGCTGAAACTGGTTAAAGAAAAACTGCAGAAGTCAACAAAACAGATGAAATCCAAGAAGGAAAGCATGAGTATATGAAAATTTAAAATCAAGCTTTATTTTATTTCCTAGGATTAAACGTTTCTGTGTAACAACAGGTCTGTTGTTTAACAGAACACAGAAAAATGTCAAATAGCAGAGTGGCTCATGACAGGCAGGAACTCTCACTGTCTGAACTCACCCAGCATGTTCATGGCAAAAATTAGCCATGGTGCAGGTGGTGGCACACGCCTTTAATTCCAGCATTCGGGAGTCAGAAGCAGATAGATCTGAGTCTGAGGCCAGCCTGGTCTATAGAGTGAGTTTCAGCACAGCCAGGACTACAAAGAGAAACCCTGTCTTGAACCAAAACATGAGAATAAAACGATGTGTGTGTGTGTGTGTGTGTGTGTGTGTGTGTGTGTGTGTGTGAGCGCGCGCACATGCATGAACTTGCCACACTTGGTGTAGACACCAGATAACAACTTTTACAAATTGATTCACTCCTATCACCATGCGGGTCCTGAGCATTGAACTTGGGACATCTGTCAAAGATGACTTCTTACCATTTGACAAGGACGGTAGTGGAGCTAAAACAACAAAGGAGTTGGGAGCTGTCATGAAGTCTTGTGCAGAATCCCACAAAAGCAAAGTTAGAGGGCATGATTCATGAAGCAGATGTGGATGGTAACAGCACAGTCCATCAATGTCAAGAGAAATAAAAGACAGTTTGTGCAGGGAGGTTTAGAGAAGCACTCAGCTTGATTAGGCTGGCAATTGCTGTGTGGCTGCAGCAGAGCTTTGCTGTGTGCTGACAGATCCTGAAGAGCAGTTAACAGATGAGAGCATGATGAAGAGATCAGGGAAGCAGATACTGCCATGACATAAAGAGCTTGTGCAAAGAACGGCAGCAAAGTAAAGACACAATATCCTTAATCTCCTGTACAAAACTGTGCTTTCCTTGTAACCTGAATAGAGTTGGGTAGATCAGATGGCAGAGTGCTTGCCTAGCATGCCTGCAGCCCTGGTTTGGGTCCCCATAAACTAGGCATGGTGGTACATTACCATCAAAAGCACACATCTTTGATTATTATACAAATGAAGTGGAGAGGATAAAGGTAGCATGGATGTCTGAAGGTGCTATCTGGCTAGGATCAGTTTTCAATGCTGTGCCATTTACAGTGTAGACAGAAGTTTCTGTCCCACTCCATCCCAAAGAACACAGAGGCTTATATTAATTATAAACTGCTTGGCCTTTTGCTCAGTCTTATTACTAACTATCTCTTACAACTTAAATTAACCCATAATTCTTGTGTATGTTTAGCCATATGGCTTGGTACCTTTTTTCTGTAAAACATTCTCATCTTACTTCCTCTGCATCTGGCTGATGACTCCATCTCTGCTTTTCCTCTTCCCAGAATTCTCTTAGTCTGGTTGCCCCACATAGGCTTCCTGCCTACCTACTGGCCAATCAATGTTTTATTAAACCAATATGAATGACAAATCTTTACAGTGTACAAAAGCATTATCCCATAGGATACAGTACATAAAACTTGCCTTGTTCATGTTATCCACAGCAAATCCTTCTAAAGCTGTAAGTTCTGGGACCCCATCTAGGCCAATTCATTGATAAAAGGCTACCATACAAAAATGCTTTCCTTTTATAGCACAAAAGAATATCTCAGGGCTGGAGAGATGGCTCAGAGGTTAAGAGCATTACCTGCTCTTCCAAAGGTCCTGAGTTCAATTCCCAGCAACCACATGGTGGCTCACAACCATCTATAATGGGGTCTGGTGCCTTCTTCTGGCCTGCAGGCTTACACACAGAATATTGTATACATAATAAATAAGTATTTTAAAAAAAAGAATATCTCAAAAATAAAAACTTGTCGGACAAAGTTGTGTACACTTCTGATCCCAGCACTCTGGAAGTAAGGCAGGTAGATTTTTGTGAATTCAAGGCCAACTTGATCTACATAGCAAATTTCAGCTCTGGCAGGGCTACATAGTGAGAACTGGTCTCAAAATTAATAAATAATAAAGTTCATATTATCATATTGAAGATTCAATTCAGGCACCTGCACAGATAGTATGCTTATGTAATTGACTCATAGGAACACCACCACCACCCACACAAATAAACCAAAAAAACCCCCAAAAACCACACACCATATTGAAGATAGGTGAACTGACTGTGAACAACAAACTGAATTTGGGAGGGAATATGATGAAACTATAATCAGAAAACAAAGTTTTAGATACATAATTTATCATTTGTAGAGAAAGTTGCTAGAATAATTTTAACTTGGTTTCCAGTTATAAAAAAGAACTCACTTTCTGTGATGATAGGTGAGATCATCAGGCATATATGTATTTACCATATATATGTATATCCAAGCTTCAAAGCTGGGCATGAGGGCACACATGTGCAATTGCAGCACTCAGAAAGTTAAGGCAGGAGAAATGTCACACGTTTGAGGCCAGCCTGAACTACATAATAAATTCAAAGGTAGCCTGCACTACAGAGTGAGCTCATATCCCTTCAAAACACAAACAAAAATACTCAAAACAAAACCAAAAATAAATAGAAGATATAGCAATAGTATCTGGAATGACAGATAATCAGGAAAACAAGCCCTTCTTACAGAATTTAGGAAAGCTGATTTCTTTTTCTTTTTTTTTTTAAATATTTATTTATTATGTATACAATATACTGTATGTGTGTATGCCCGCACACCAGAAGAGGGCACCAGATCTCACTATAGGTGGTTGTGAGCCACCATGTGGTTGCCGGGAATTGAACTCAGGACCTTTGGAAGAGCAGGCAATGCTCTTAACCACTGAGCCATCTCTCCAGCCCCAAGCTGATTTCTTTTTGATGAACTCAATGACAGAGTGCCATTCAGTGGGGAAAGAGGCTAAAAGTTGAGAGCTGTCTGGATCTGGCTGGGTGAAATAACTCATTTTTCATCCTGATGCCTAGAACGATGATGCAGTTAGGAAACTCTAGCAAGTGTGCACTGCGGATGAGAAAAAGGTGGGGGGGGGGGGAGACAGAGAGGAGGGAGATATCTCTCTTGTAACCTGAAAGATGGCAAAGATGCCTGCTACCAAACAAACCTGAGTTTAATCGCGGGACCCACATGGTAAAAAGAACAGTACTAATTCTTGCAAGCTGTCCTCTGCTCTCCCAAGTGTACCTTGGCCACACACATAAATAAACAAATGTAATTTTAAGAATAAGAAAATGGGGCTGGAGAGATGGCTCAGCGGTTAAGAGCATTGCCTGCTCTTCCAAAGGTCCTGAGTTCAATTCCCAGCAACCACATGGTGGCTCACAAGCATCTGTAATGAGATCTGGTGCCCTCTTCTGGCCTGCAGGCATACATGTAGACAGAATATTGTATACATAATAAATAAATAAATAAATATTAAAAAAAAAAAGAATAAGAAAATGTCTCTTTCACGGCAACAATTAAGAGCTTATTGACCTAGTTCTGACATGGATCACACTACACCACGCATATATGTTTCCTTGGTCTTGGGAATGAAAAATAATGTCCATTCGGTTTTGAAATTTATTTTTTGTGCCCTATGCCCTCCAGTTTACTTGGCAACCCATGCAGTGACCCACTTCGACACAGAGGCCAGGCATAGCTCTCGCTGATGCAAATATACAATGGGCTACACGCCTCCTCTACTCCTCTTTCAGGGTTGGAGTCAACTGAGAGTGTCCACCTCGTCTCAGAAACATCAAAGATATCTCCCCCGTGATCCCGCTCCCATTTGTCCGCCTCTTTCGCCCTTTCCCGGAAAAGTAGGACGGGGGAGGGCTCTACATGGAGCTCACCAATGAGAAAGTGCAGAGGTTTCCGTACTTCCGTGTGTGCACCCCCGCGAAGGTCCGTTTCCTGCGGAGAGAACTAGAGAGACATCAGTTCCTGCAGAGCCGAGAGCCTTCGGCGGAACCTGTTCGCACGCTCTTCTGCACCGGCAGGTGAGCCCTGCGCACGCACCCTCGCGTCTGAGGCACCTTGGGGTCCGGCGGAGTGCGCCCGAAACTGGGAGAGGTGCTTCAGGGGACCTGGATACCTTTATTTCTCTGCTTCCCCCTGTTGCCATGCTTTTCTAGAAACCAAGCTGTCTGCCATCTCTGAACGTGGGTCTAACTCCTTTCTCATTCAAGGAATACCGTGGGCAACAAGTTTTGGGTGTAGACTGTATTTAACATTTACTGAGTCTATCTAGTGAATCCCAAAGCTGTTTTTGTGTGTGTATCACTTGCTGGTGATTCCACCCAATGAGGCAGGCTTCCAGTCAATGTATTTCAAAGTCATTTTCCCTTTTATTGTGCAAGTGAGGTTTATACTGAAATGGAGCGCTTTAATCCTTTTTGTGCCTTACTCCTTGTCTTCATAATAATAGTCTTAAACTCCTAACATGGGTTACGAAACTTTGCTGGTCAATCATTTACTCATTTCTGCCAGTTTTTATTTCCTGCTCAATTGTTTTCTCCAGTGAAGTGTTTTGTTGTTTTCTGGGTCTGGGAATCAAATTCAATGGACTCTTCCATGTTGGACATTTGCTCTATCACCAACCTCACCTTCAGCCCAGTCACCACACTTTTGATTCCGCGTGTCCAATGCTGTCTTTCTACCTCTTGCCAGAAACGTTTTTTCCATGTCTGGCCAACACCTAATCATCCCTGAATTTCAGCCTGGAAGTCATTTTCTCTAGAACAGCGGATATCAACCTTCCTGATGATGCAACCCTTCAATTCAGTTTCTCATAGTGTGGTGGCCCCCAACGATAAAATTATTTTGTTGTTACTTCATAACTAAATTTGCAATGATTATGAATCATACTATAAATATCTGATATGCAGAATATCTGATATACGACCCCCATGAAAGGGTCTTTCAACCCGTGGAGGGGTCTCAACCCACAAGTTGAGAAACATTGCTTTAGGAAGTCCTCCAGGCTTATTCTTGCCCCTGTGTTCCCAGCTGTCTGTATATACTGTCGTAAATTGTCTAAATTTTAAACTCCATGAGGGCAGGAGCTGTCTCTAATCTGGCCATGCTTGTACACCCTCAACATAGTAGCTGGCACACAACTCTCAGTTGCCAGAAGAGAAGAGGCGTTTAGGAGTTCTTTTAAATCATTTACACCCCGTCATAAAGCTTGTGCAAAGGTGACAGTCATCTCTATTGAAGCCTTTCCTCCTTGCTGCATTCTGTGGGGTTCTGAAGCAGATGATTCTGGGGAAAAGGCTGGGCAAATACACCTCACATTAGGATATTGTTGACTGAGTAACTTCATACCCCACAGACTCACCGATTGCCCCAGCCTTAACGTGCCTTGTGCTACAACTACACTGAACTCTCAGTCCTGTGTGTCAATCTTGCATGTACTTGGATTCCCTTCCAAGTGTTTGATGTTACTCTTCTAGAAGAAAGAAGAAAGGCTGGTTCTTTTGAGGTAGATCAGAAATGGAGTCTTCAAAAAGATAGCCATTTCATTTAATTTGTATTCCACAAGCAGACGCCACTGAGCTTAGATACTTTTATCTCAGTTCTGCTCAAATCATTTTGCAGACCCTCTCTCTGCCAGGCTTCCGGCTGGGGGTAGAGGTCCTATGGTAAATAAAACTCAGTATTTGACCTTAAAAAGCTTAGTCTCTAAGGGACACAGGCATATAAGCAGGCCACAGAGTGCACCTTGGACTATATTGTTTATGAGCGGGAAGATGTGTATAGTCATATCTGTATGTTAACCTTGTCTGTGTTGATATTCTAGGTTCCTCAAGATGTCAGCTTCAGCCTCACAAGGCCATAACTGGACCCGACAGCTGAAGAAAGAAGACGAGGAAGAAGACCCACTAGACCAGCTGATCACCCGCTCTGGCTGTGCTGCCTTCCACTTTGCAGTGCAGGAGTGCATGGCCCAACACCAGGACTGGCGTCAGTGCCAGCCACAAGTGCAGGCATTCAGGGATTGCATGAGTGCACAGCAGGCAAGAAGGCGGGAGGAACTGCAGAGGAGGAAAGAGCAAGCCAGTGCTCAACACTGAGACCCTAAACCGTCATCCCACAACCTGGCCCTGAAGAAATAAGCACCCAGAGTGACCCTGGGAAGAAGCAATCCTAAGTAGTAGAGTGTGCAATAGGAGATAAATAATTCGGACCATCTTTGGGACTAGGGTTGAAAGCACCATGAGCTGTTTTTACTTTATGATCAGATCAGACACATCTACACCGTTCCTGTTCCACCCATACTTGTATCTAAAATTAGTGGGATATGGACCACCCCTCCATCCTACCTCTTGAGTGTGCCAAGTACTTTGTAAGTAAATTCACAGCCTAAAGGTAAATTGGTTGTTCAATCAGGCCTTTGTTTTTCAGTCACAAATTTAACAACAGAAAGTGTTTCTAAGACACTGTGTTAGTAATGTGCAATTTGAAGAGTTATGTGGCCTTGCTGTTGCTTAGAGACTAGTGCGAGAGGCCACGCTCAAACAGTGAACTCAGTTTCCAACAATGACAGAAGAGCCTTTATCTTTCCTGGGTGTTTTATTCAGTTTAATGGGGGTCAGGAGCTAATCGAGAAACATTTTTTAAAAGACGGAATCTATGTAGTCCAGACTGACCTTGAATTTTCTGTATAGCCAAGGATCACCTTAAACTCATGATCTTCCTGCCTCCACCCCACATACTGAGATTACAGGCATGTGTTACCACACTTATCGAGGAAACATTTTCAGCTGAGTACATGGTGTATGTCAGGCTCAGTGTAACAGATTCAGAGCCTGCCCCATCCTACCAACACACAAAGCTTGCCAGACATTTTGGAAGTATGTTTGACATTAAAGTACAGACTTTGACCTTTGGAAAAATGGAACCACTATATGTTCCTACTTGACAACAGTTTGACAGAGCTGATAATGCCTTCTCTGGGGTGCTGTTTCCTATTTATAACATCAACAGTTGCTTCTCATTTTTATTCAGCGAAACCATGAAATCTGTTTCTGCATGCCCCTGGAAGTTATTTGGAAATGGGAAAGGGTTTGGAAGGTGACTCTGCCACAGAAGCTTGGGTGTTTTGTTTTTAATTTATCATTATTAACAAACATCTCTCAGGCATCTATATGTTAGTTGTCCAAGTCTGAAGTATGGTAGACCCTAACACCTACTTGAGCCTTGTGTGCAGAAATGTTAGGAAAGACAGACAGAAAGTAGAGAAGTTTAGTGAAGAGTAAAGCCCTGTTTCAAGTTGAAGATCAAGTGAGTAGATAGAGCTGCATCTCTGCCGGTCCACTCCTGCTTTGAGTTGAGGTTGAGTCAGCAGTGGGGCAGGTAGTGTGCATTGGGGTGTCGGCACAAATCCCAGAGATGGGCACAGTGTGGTGCACGCCTTTAATCCCTGTACTCAAGGCAGAGGGAGGCAGTTCTCTGATTTCAAGGTCAGCCTAGTGTACTCGTGAGTTCCAGGACAGCTATAGCTACATAATGAGATTCTGTCCAAAAAAATTAAAAAATCTCAGAGATAAAAAGAGGGACTTTTTAACTCTATCAATAAAAGAGGGACTTTTAAAATTGAAGTACACATTACTTATTTGTAACGTTGGAAGAATTACCATCTGGAACAAATTCAAAGTACATCAAGGTCAGTAAGAAAAGACAAGAAGAAACACTGGCTGGACTGGGGCCCATTCCTACTTATATCCCAGCATTTAGGAGGCGGAGGCAGAAAAATCACCCATAAGTTTTAGGCCAGACTGGGATACATAGTAAGTTTTAGTCTAGCCTAACCAATAAAATGAGATTATTTAAAAAAGAAGAATATGCTTGAGATTATAGGAAAATATAAATAGGTGCTCTATTACAGATAATCCCAAAAAAAAAAAAACCCACACGCTTTTAACATAAAATGTTAGCTGATTCTGCTGGCAAATTAAGTGACCAGTATTGGTGGAGAAAGGAACAGACTCATTCTTGTGAGGAGGGAGAGCACTAACTTTTTGGAGGACAATTTGGTGGACTCTAAACTATTTAAATACACAAAGCTGGCTGCAATGACACATGCCTATAATTGGAGCAAGGCTGAAACAGGAGGACTGTAGCCAGTCCAGGCTACATTGAGTTCCAGGACAGCCATAGCTACATTTGTGAGGACCTATCTCAGAAAAAAAAAACCTAAAATATACAAACCCGTTTCATAAGAGCCTCTACTGAATACATGTCGTAAGATGCATTTGCTGTGTGTCCTGCAGCATGCAGCACAGTCAGAGGGTAAATTCCCATCAGTAAGGACACAGTTACTCTGTATTCCAGTCTGTAATGGAAATGTGTCTACATGATTTACAGTGGGGCTGTGTCCCAAAAAACTCTCACTATAAGTGGAAATGCATTTAGTTAAACAATGTAGCATGAAGGAAGGGGAAAATATCCTGAATGAGAGAGTACAGAGGGAGGGTGAGAGAGTAGGAGGAAGGGGATAAAGTGGAAGCTTGGTTGCCAGGCGGTGTTGGCGCATGCCTTTAATCTCAGCACTCAAGGAGGCAGAGACAGGAGGATCTCTATGAGTTTGAGGCCAGCCTGGTTTACAGAGTGAGTTTCAGGACAGGTTCCAAAGCTACACATAGAAAACTTGTCTCAAAACAAAATAAAAAAATTGAAGTATAGTACAGGCATATGTGGACTTATTTTAAGAAAATCCTTTATGATTACAGCAATTAAGCATCAGCATTTTTCTGTTTTTTTTTTTTAATGCAGTTAAAGAAACATCTAGGCATGAAAGAGGAAACTCACAGGTTAGAGGCTAGCCTGGGTAGTATAGCAAGATCCTGTTAATAGATAGTAACTAAAGGCAGGGATTGCCTCAGTGGAAGAAAGCACAACCTGACAAGGACAAAACCCTGTTTGTTCCCCAGCACCACCAAAGAATAAAATAGCACATGAGTTTGGGAGTGTTGTCTCACTCTAATCCCAGCAAGGGAAGCTAAGACAGTCCGATTGCTTTCCTGAGCTCAAGGGCAGACTGGGCTACAGAGTGTGGAGTACCTGCTGAACATCATAGCCTGCCAGCATAGCACACTGTAGAATCAGTTGTTCACCTTTATCATGCTGGCTGAGGGTAGCTAGTATCATGGCCATCCACAACAGACACTGATGCTCAGAGAAGCAAGCACAATAGAGTCTCCTAGACTAGACATCCCCAGAGAAGCAACAGCGTCATCATCTGGGAAATGGTAAGATACAAAGTTAAAACCTTTACTCCTTATCTTCAGGACAAAAAAAAAGCTGACTGCAGTCTAGTGATTAGTGCTCAAAAACCCTGACTCGAGACCCTCATGAGCAGTCTGAGAAACAATGATTTAGCCAAAGATCTGACAAAGTTTACAATGGGCAAGACAGCTGCCATTTGTGTGACTGTTCAACTCACCCACCGCACCCCAGTGCAGTCAGAGGCAACAGCAAGTAGATGATCATGACTCTTTTCCAACAAACTTTTACTAACAGGAAGTTGAACCAGACAAGAAGTGATTACACAGTATTGTGAATATACTATAGAACACTGAAATGTGCATTTCAAAATGGCTAATTTAGATTGTTTTATTACACATTTGATTTTTGTGTGTGTGACATTCAGAGGTCAGCAGACAACTTTCAGGAGTTGGTTCTTTCTACCTTGTAAGTCTCAGGAGCCAAATGGAGGTCACAAGGCTTGGCAGCAAGCATCTTTACCCACCAAGCCACCTTTCCAGTCCTACAATCACTAGTTCTGTGGTATGTAAATGTTACCACAATAAATTATTATACGACAAAAATAGGGCCAGAAATAGTGGTCCACACTTTTAATCCCAGCTCTTGGCAAGCAGATCTCTGTGAGTTCAAGGCCAGGCTGGGCTACATGCAAATTCCAGGACAGCCACAGCTACATAGTGAGACTCTGTCTTGAAAAAACAAAAAACTAAAAATAGGCAAAGGTAGGATTTGATTCATAGACCATATTTTCTGACCCCTGACCATGATCAAGTTTTTGAACTTGGCAATGCTTCTCCTCCCGAATACTGGGATGATACATGCCACCACACTTAGCAAGTATCTTTTATGTATGTACATATGTATGTACGTAGAGTCTCATGTGAGCCAAGTTGCCCTTGAAGTCACTATGTACCTGCAAATGACCCTGAACTCCTAATCCTCTTGCCTTTACCTCCTAAGTGCTGGGAGTACAGGTGTGTATTATCACAATTGGTTGAATCTTTTTCTTTATAAAGAACCCAGCCTCGGGAACTTCATTAAAGCAACAGAAAATCGATGAGCACAGAGTTCACTTATGTTGTAAAGTCTAATTCATTACAGAGCTACATGTCTCTATATCTATATAAAGATACATTTTTTTTTTTTTTTGAGACAGGGTTTCTCGGTAGCTTTGTAGTCTGTCTTGGAAATCACTTGGTAGACTTGGTTGGCCTTGAACTCATGGAGCTCCACCTGTCTCTGTCTCCCAAGTGCTGGGATTAAAGGCATGCCAAGTCATAATCATACCGAGCACAGTGGCACACATCTTTAATCCCAGTTGGGGCAAGGAGGTAGGTGGGTTTCTGTGCATTTGAGGCTACCCTTGTCTACAGAGCAAATTCCAAAACAGTCAATGGCTATATAGAGACCTTGACTCAAACAAACAAACACATAAACAATTAGCTTATACTAGATTGCTTTAAAACATGAGTTCACACTAACTGAAAAAGTATGGTGGAATGAAAACATGATTAGACAAGGAGAAACAGAAATCCATAAAGATAGTTTGACGCTAGCCTGGTCTACAGAGCTAGTTCCAGGACAGCCAGGTCTGTTACACAGAGAAACCCTGTCTCAAAAAACAAAACAAAACAAAAAAATTTAAAGGATAATTGCTACACACACACACACACACACACACACACACACACAGAGGTAATAGCAAATTTTATTAGGTAAATGGTAACTGGCAAGCACCGCATGCCACAGACACAGGAGGCGTTCCCAGTATGAGCACTCATTCTCTTGGCTTATGTCTTCATGCAGGAAGATTTCTCTGAGGCCGATGATGACATGAGAGGGCTTGCAGTGTTTAGTTCAACTTGGCCAACAATTCCTCCAGTTCTGGCCGAGCTTTGAACCTTCCCTTGAAGTCTTCTTCGGTGTGCTAGGACAAGGAAAACAAATGGCAATCACCACAGAACTTTTATTGCCCATACATACAAATGCACCTCCAAAAAGGGTCCTTGGGCAGCTCTGCAGAGAGTAATCCAGAGTCAGCCCTTTCTCAATGAGCATGCAGCGTGACCCAGACTTGAACTGGGTACCAGGAACCAACACTGAACCACACACTTCATCTTAGTATGCTAGCCAAGACAGACATGTAAACAGGATGCCACAAGTATTACACCAGAAGTTTTCTGGTTATATTTATTTGATTTTGCATCATGTTATAGACCAGGGCCTTTCACATAAGAGGTAAACACTGCCACTGAGCCATATGGTCTAAAAACTTTGGGTTTATTTGTTTGTTTTATGAGAAAGGGTTTCTCTCATAGTAGTCATGGCTGTTCTGGAACTCACTCTGTAGACCAGGCTGGCCTACAACTCACAGAGATCCCCCTGCCTCTGCCTCTTTTTTTTTGAATGATGTTGTGTGTGTGTGTGTGTGTGTGTGTGTGTGTGTGTGTGTATGTGTGTGCATGTTTACCCACATGGAAGTAAGGGCAACATTTGAAAGTTAGTTCTCTCCCTCCACCATGTGGTCCTGGGAATTGACTTCAGGCTGTCAGGTTTGGCAGCAAGAACCTTTACCTGCTGAGCCATCTCACCAGTCTTGTTTGCTTTTTTGAGATAGGGTCTTGGTATATAGTCCAGGCTGACCCTGAACCTACTATTTAGACCAGGCTGGCCTCAAACCTCAATCTTCCTGTTTCTGCCTCCTCAGTGCTAGGATTGCATGCACAGGTACTGCAATATTTTTAACACAACCAGCACATTCTCACCCTATATGCAGATCTCTGTAGAACTGAAATAATCACTGGACAGGTGTGGACAGAACAAGGGAAGCTAGATGAAGCAATATACCAGGCTAACATGACATAATGGGAACTGTGTCATAAGAAGGATTGTCATGCCAACTAGATCTGAACCCAGTATTTAGGCTAATGTTGCTTATTTCTGCATGCATCTCAGTCTTTACCAGATACATTCAATGGAGCTATAATCATTCATTGGTGGTCTAGAAAACGTCTCTCTAAGGTAATGCCCTGATGCAGTGGTTTTCAACCTGTGGATCGTGATCCCTTTGGGGGTCAAATGACCCTTTCTCAGGGGTTGCCTAAGACCATCAGAAAACACAGATATTTACATTGATTCATAATAGTAGCAAAATAAGTTATGAAGTAGCAATAAGAAAATGATGAGGAACTGTATTAAAGGGTCACAGTGTTATGAAGGTTGAGAACCACTGCATTCATTATACTGTTTATAATCTTAAAACATGTTTCTGCTTTATAGCTACCTGAAGGGAGAATCTGAAGGTGATGGGCTCAGTCCCTAATGTCAGGATGCTGTGATAGAGGCTAGCTCCTGTGTTACACACAGCATCATTCCTGACACCTCAGAGGCCTCAGAGTAATGGTCTCGGGGCCACCAGGCTGTACAGTTCTCCTGATAGCAGCTGAAATATACATTTCTCTGTTATTTCAAAACTAAGCAGCACTGACTTCTTTATCCTCATTGTGAGCACACAAAGGCCACCAAGAGCCTCTTTCCACACTGGCACCTACCTCCCTCACTGACAACTTGACTCCTTCTGGAAGATTGCTTTGGAGTATTTCCAAGAAAATCTCTGCAAACGTAGCACTCAGACTGCTGATCTGCAAATGAAGAGAGATGTCTAAGGGAGAGTACTGAAGGTCAGATGACTTGCACACAGCCTGGGTGTCCCTGCAGCAGCTCCCGTGGGGAAGAGGGTGATCTGCAAGCAGGGCCTGGACTCCCTTTCAGCTCCAGTGGGGTAGAGGCTGATACTCAGAGAGGCTTCTAAGCTCAGTTCCCATAGGATTTCTCTTGCTCTTTGTTGAAATGTCTGTTTGCCATTGTTCCTGTAGGCAGGGAATGTCACAGCCAGACCAATACTGATTTTCTGATGCAATTTGGGTTTACCATATTGCTGTGGTCCTCAGGAATCATGCAGTGAGATTTCAGCTGATAGAGCAGAAGGCTGACCCACCAGAATGAATATATTCTTTTTTTTAAATTTTGTTCTCTTTTTTTCCATTTATTTATTTATTAAAGATTTCTGTCTCTTCCCCAGAATGAATATATTCTGATGGAGATAAACCCAGTTTGCAAGGTGCTGGGCCTACCACCTTTTGTATATCGGCTGATTCTCACAGTAGATCTCTTGTGAAGCTGTAAGCACTCTCCCTTAGTGCAAGATTCAGCAGAGTATGGATTATTGGGCACAATTCTTTCCCATGTACTAGTATATTGGGTCACCCCCCACTTTGTGGTACTTAGTCCTGCA